CGAAGGAATTATTCTTTGACATTTTAAATGCCCGTTTTTTAGATGGTTAGGTCAAATTTTCTCTAACTTAGAGCACTGTAGCCACTCTTGTACTTTCGGTACAAGGACTGTCCTTAATGCATTTGATACGTTATACCCTGTTGAGGCGTAATGTAGTGAAATTTCGCATCAGCAACTCTCCATCACCTTTGCATTAAAATTTTCCAGCAAGAGCAACAGAAATACGTTCAAAAGCCATTTTCAAGCAGCCTTTGCATCGTTACGGGAGACGAAAGGAGAGTTTATATTTTGAAATATTGCTGCATTACTTATTTTGAACAGTAAAAACCCTTTAGAGTCCATAATACTTCCAAATGTTTTGTTAAACATGCAATTTTTGATTTCTGTTAAACAGACTGAAACCTGACTTCCAGTTATGATATGGAAATCGTTCAACCGTTAAATTACCAATGTTTACCAAATTGAAGATATTCATATTTTTAAGACACAAAATTCTCCACTTTACATATTTATTTCCCCCCTAAAGTAGGGTGTTGGGTTTCTTTTGCGTGTCACTATACTTTAAGCATAGAAATATATCTTTCATTAAGGAAAATATGTATGAGTACCTTTTCTGTTTTCTCTTCACTGTGGGTACCAACCAGGATAACCGGGGCTTTATCACTGCTGTATTGATGAACTGACTTCATCCAAAATTCTAGATAATCTGAAAAAGAAATACAAAAAAACTCAATTTAGAGTAGACAAGATATTTCGTTCTGAAAAAAAGAATAAAGATTATATAAAGGCTCGTGAACCACAATACTCAATATGCTCCTAATGTCTTAACCAGATTTTTCTTCATTAATTTTTCCATGGATGACTTTGGTTCCCTGTTGTGACCCAACCTTATCATCAGTCTTTATCATTTGATCCTTTTTCCTACTGTGACTAAACCATATTCCCAGATGTCCTGATTTGATCCTATTTCTACTGTGACCCAACCTTATCCCCAGGTGTCCTGATTTGATCCTTTTCCTACTGTGACCTAACCTTATTCCCAGGTGTCATGATTCGATCCTTTTCCTACTGTGACCCAACCTTATCCCCAGGTGTCATGATTTGATCCTATTCCTACTGTGACCCAACCTTATCCCCTGGTGTCAAGATTCGATCCTTTTCCTGTTGTGACCCAACCTTATCTCCAGGTGTCAAGATTAGATCTTTTTTCTGTTTTGACCCAACCTTATTCCCTGGTGTCAAGATTTGATCCTATTCTTGTTGTGACCCAACCTTATCCCCAGGTGTCAAGATTCGATCCTTTTCCTACTGTGGCCCAACCTTATCCCCAGGTGTCATGGTTTGACCATATTCCTGTTGTGACCCAACCTCATCCCAAAGTGTCAAGATTTTATCATATTCCTGTTGTGACCCAACCTTATCCCTAGTTGTCTTGATTTGATCCTATTTCTACTGTGACCCAACCTTATCCCCAGGTGTCAAGATTCGATCCTTTTCCTACTGTGACCCAACCTTATCCCCAGGTGTCAAGATTTGATCCTATTCCTGTTGTGACCCAACCTTATCCCCAGGTGTCATGATTTGATCCTATTCCTGTTGTGACCCAACCTTATCCCCAGGTGTCATGATTTGATCCTATTCCTACTGTGACCCAACCTTATCCCCAATTATCAAGATTTGATCCTTTTCCTACTGTGACCCAACCTTGTCCCCTGGTGACAAGATTTGATCCTTTTCCTACTGTGACCCAACCTTATCCCCAGGTGTCATGATTCAATCCTATTCCTGTTTTGACTAAACCTTATCCCTAGGTGTTAAGATTTTATCATATTTGAATCTACACTACCTAAAGATACTTCCATAACAATATGAATAATCTTTACCTTCTTGTTCCTAACAAAATTTTCAAAGACTTTTTTGCTTACTGTTTTATGGCACTTGATCCCACCTCTTATGTTTGGTGAGGTCCATCTTTGCTCTGCAGCCCATTTATTATGTTTAAATTGATTTTGAGCTGAAATACTCTTCGTAATTTCCAAATTTCATTTCCTATATATATATTCTATATATCCCTATATATAAATCTTTGATCCCCCTGTGGTCCCATCTTACTTGCAAATTTCCTGATTTGGAAAAACTTGAAACTATTTTCTACATCAATATGATCAATTAGGCATTTGCTATTATATAGAGGAACATCTTTATGATATTTTCCCATATATCTTTGTAAAGATTTGACTTCCCATTATGACCCCCCTTACTCCTACGTTTCATAAACTTTAATATATGTACAATACGTTAGATTGCTTCTATATCAGTTTAACTACATGTAGCTCCTGAGAAGAAGAAATGAAATATTTTAGTTTTCCCTTTTTGTTCTTTTAAGCTTGATCACATTTTGTTGTCCAACCATGCCTTCTTGGGTCATGATATGAATAAACTTGAATCTGCATTATATTATATATAATTATGCTTGAAAAGAATATTTAGATAAATTCCTCTAATAGTTCTTTGTAACAATTTGAGTAGTGATTACTCAGTATGGCCCACCTAGGTTCATGATTTGAACAAATGTGAATCCAGATGCCAACAAATTGGATCTTATTCTTGATTATCTCGAATTAAAATGGTCTGTGAAATTTCAATTGAATGAACCTGAATTACCGGGTACATTCACCAAAAGATGATTTGTGGCATGTTTGGTTGAAAAAGTATCAGTTGCTCTGGAGAAAACTTCAAGTTGAAAATAATATTTTTTAAGAATTTTTTTTTCTCAAATAGTCATACAGAGGGATACGAGACGCAATGTGATCAGAAAATATATTTTGAGCTTTAAGCTTCGATGAGCTAAAATAGATAGATTGCTTATAAATGTCATTTCATTGTATACAACCTCTGTTTGTCCATTCCCCATAAATGGAGCCTTTCTGACAGCACACGTCTTCTCCAACCTTATAATCAAACTTCTTCTCCATATTCAGCACCAGAATGAAGAACGCCCGCGGACTCAGAAAAATCTGGTGTGAGGCATAATATGAACACTGCCCTGCAAAGTCAGTCATGGTAATTTTTTTCTCAGGATCATCTGAAATGTCTTCTGCACCAATCTGCAAATTTCCAGAAATTTCTGAACTATGAGGAATATCTTTGCTTTCCTTCACAACTTCTGCTACATTTTCTGATGACGTGGCCCCGCGTGGCTCATTAGATGAGGCAGTTTGAGTCATGCTAATGTTGGTGTCATCATGTGATATCTGTCCAGTGTTTGATGCTTCAGTCGTATTGGCCGCTTCATCAACTGGTTCCATCCTTTCCCCATCATCGGCTGCATTTACTGAATGAGATTCAGGAACACTCTGCTTCATATCTTTTTTATCAAGCTGTAGTTTAAAGTGTTTTTGTTGACTTGAAAAATTAACTGCAAAAAACATTAAATACACCTTGATTTACAACTTCACTTTTGGCTACATATGGATACCCCATATCTAGCCAAAAAGTAAAGGCAGAAATGCAAAAAAAAAAACCCAAACAAAATGTTACAAATAACAAGAGGCCCAAGGGCCTTGAATCGCTCTTCTGATAAATTATACAATCTATCACTTCTATTTGAAGCCTCTTATCTTAAGTATCCAAAGACCCAAGTTGCATCAGCTGACAAAGTTTGATGATTCTTCGCCAATTAGGACTGAAAATATTTTTAATAATAAAGCTATAAAAAACCATAAGTACATCACAGTGACCTATATTAAGATCGAAGTTTTCCGAGGACTCAAGATGCATTAATAAACAAAGATTGAAGATTGTAAGGCAATAAGTATTTGAGATATTTAAAAGTAGGTCACCGTGACCTACTTTTTGGACATCATTCTCCAAAAACCCAAGATGCATCAACTTCCAAAGTTTGGTGATTCTAAGCCAATAAGTACTGTAGATACTTAAATAAAGCCATGAAATTTCAAAAGTAGGTCACTGTGACCTACTTTTTGTTTGTTACTCTCTGAAAACCCAAGGCGCATCAACTCACAAAGTTGATGATTCTAAGCCAATAAATACCTAAGATACTAACATATAGCCATAAAATGTTGAAACAAGGTCATCCTGACCTATATTTTGGTCGACATTTTTCAAAGTCACAAGATGCATCTGTTGAACAAGATTGATGATCCTTGGTCTCAAGGTAATCAAAATATGCCTTTTAAAGAAATCGAAAACAATTGCCTGCAAAATTCAAAAAGTAGGTCACAGTGACCTACTTTTCATAAATATGTTTTAAGGTTCCAAGATGCATCAATTTACAAGATTTGATGATGCTAAACCTCCTAATGTCTGAAATAATAGGATAAAATGTTTTAAAAAGAATAAGACATAAAGTTCAAAAAGTAGGTCACGGTGACCTTCTTTTAAGCTGATGTTCTTCAAGGACCCAAGATGCATAAACTGACAAAGTTTGATGATCATAGGCCTTAAAAGTGCCCAAAATATGCCTTCAAATCAATTTGAAAACAAATGCCCATAAAATTTTAAAAGTAGGTCACCGTGACCTACTTTTGAGTTAACATGATGTGAAGTCCTGAGATGCATCAACTTATAAGATTTGATAATCCTAGTCGTAATAGTAAGCAAAATATAAACGTTTTTATTATTTGTAAATTTAGGTCAACTTTGAAGTGACCTTGAGACCACGCCCTTTGCCCAAGGGTCATGCCTTCAACAATTTTTAATCTTCAACATATCCTGATCCTTGTATGTAAGTTTGGTGAAAATTTGCCAGGTGGTTCTGGAGAAGATTTTTTAGCAACCAGTACTTTTGGTTTTGTTTTCCTTATTATCTCCCCTTGTTTAAGGGTCACAATCCTTATTTTAGCATATAAAGGGTAGCCCTTGGGCCAAGGATACCCTGTGACAAATTTGACACTGATTGGCCAAGGGGTTCTTCAGTTATGGCCCATATTCTAAAAAGTTATGCACACAGCACACCGCACAAATGGCCATTGCATTAGCTCTTTGAGCCTTTGGCTAAGAAGAGCTAAAAATGCAAGATTAAGCTAACGATTTGCATACTATTTTGTGATTTAAGTTTAAATCAATTTTTAATTGATTCATCCCCAGTCCACAATTTTATAGTTAAGGTCCCGGTATTAAATGAATAATGAAGGGATTTTGAACGAATTTAAATAATTTTTTAACTATTCAAAACACATTGCTAGATAACAATAAAAGTGAAATGAACCAAATTCACAAGGTTGATAACATGTAAGGAGACGGTCATTTTGCACATTAAAAGTTTTTGAGGAGTTATCTGCCCTTGATGAAAAGAAGACAAATTTTTATTTCTCAAAATTTCTGCGGTAAATTATCTATTTTTTTCAAAGTGTACTAAAGAGGGAGTTTATGCATATTCTCACACAGAGATTAATTTGTTTAATATCACATTACTTTTTTACAATATCTTATAAAACATGTTCTTCCCCTAGACTTCAATGTAATTGGACAATAATAAAAATTTTGTTAATTCCTTAGGTTGAGCAATTTTATTTGATAACATCTTCTGAATCAAAATTCTACCATGATTAAAAATGTCGGACCACTCATTTTTAGGTCCAAACTATGGTCATTATACATTCAAATTTTGGGGTCAGAAGTCATAGCGCGACCGGATTACAGAGCGATGTGAAATTTTTACCAAACAACTTCTAGGTCATTGCGCGTCAATACAAAGCAAATACGTTGGCCTGTTCGTGTAATAAATACAATTTAACTCGAAATGTATTCGTTTCAAATGTAAATATAAGTAATAAACAACAATGTAAAAAAGTTCACTGGGAAATGAACTTTTAGTTGGTACGTGATCAAATCTACTGAGAAGCCCTTCGGGTTTCACAGGATTTGATCACGTGACCAACTAAACGTTCATTTCCCAGAGAACTTTTTAACATTGTTGTTTATTTCTTAACTGACATGAGTCGCCATTCCATGCCGATATAAATGACAATAAAGCAGTCAATTGCAAGTGTAGGGAATGCTAAGAGTGGACATTGGTACTTACATCATAGATAGTAATATCCAAAATGACATACACCTTTTTTCGAGTTGTGTTTTTTAAGGATAACAAACATAAAATTCATTAATATAAAAAAGTATTGTATAAAATTTTTCATTTGTATAAAGAAACTTAAAATCCCCCCACACTCCCCATCTCCAGTCATATGCCTTTTTGCGGCCAACATTTCATGATACGTGTTATGTGAATTCCATAATCAAAGATCAGTTCATTGAATCAAGCAAAATAGTATGTGCAGTGTAGGGAAATAGTTAATGTATCATTGAGTTAAATGCTGACTGACGTTTTTCAGCCTAATTGTTAGTCCATTATTTATAAACTGAATTGACAACGGATTTTTTTTCCGTTATTTCCAGATCACAACAAGGAGCACATGGGTGGGTGTGTTCGGTCAGCAGGGAATGCTCACTCCTCCATGGCACCTGATCCCACATCTAATGTTTCGGAGGTGACTGGTCCGTGTTTGCTCTGCTCCTACAGAGTTCCTAAAATCTTTTTTTTCCGCTGCAAGGGAAGTTTGTCAGTCCAGATAAATTTCTATCAGTCCAACAAAAAAATTAAATAGAAAGATAAAAACTGTAATTGAATTTTATTCTCAATACATTTTGCACCCTGCTTCAATTCAAACTGCATACTTCATGCCATTTTGATCGTATAACATTTTTTTTTAATTCTCGTGGGGAGCCGATCTTCTTCATAAGTTTTTAATCTAGTTCGATTTTCTCACCTCGATAATACCTTATCGCCGTCAAAAACCTTGTTTAAACAATTAATCAATCATAGATTGGTACTTGTGTTCATCAAAGAAGCCATTACAAGATACTGAAAAGCGTTTAACAGATTATGATCGGTTGATTATAGGGAATTTGCACGAAATTTAGTCGGATTTTCACAGGTTTCTTTCTCAACATCTACCGGTCATTTGGACTGACACCGAACGTAAAGTTATAGGTCCTTGGTTGTTTTTATTGGTCTTGCCGACAGGACCGAAAGATTTCAAGAACTTTGCCCCTATTTTAAATTGTTTGATGATTTTGATATTGATTGATTGATTGATTGTATATTGTTAAACGTCCCTCTTGAGAATTTTTCACTCATATTGAATACTGTTCTGTTTGTTATCTTGATTTCTTTTATTACTCTAGAATGAACCAATTTTTTATAATTGAACCTAATTTCCAAATACTACCGAGGGATTTGGAATGGAAAAATCGATCTCAGTCAGGTGTATGGCAAAAATCAAATGTCCAATTATCGTTTTATTAATTAACTAGTGTAACCTTTACAAAAAAATGCTTATTTCTTAGAGAAACACCAAATATAAAAGAACCTAGAGCAAAGCTCGTTGCAAAGCAACGAGTAGGTCTTCCATCCTGCTAGACCGGAAGTAGCTTTCATTTTTAAGTAAAATGAGAATTAACACCAAAAAATGCTTTGAATCCTCTAAAGCTAAGTTAATTAATGCAAAAATAAGCTAAATTCTACTACTTCCGGTTTGACCGAAAGTAAGGAGGACGGACAGAAAATAAATTTTTAAGCTCCCAGAGTCATATGTTACCCAGAAACTTGTCAAGAACGGCAAAAATACGCGTTTTTTGACTACTTCCGGTTTGGCCGGAAGTGACGACGCTGGACGCATTTTGACAACTGCAGTAAATTAAACTTGACATTTTGAACAACTTTGCTTCTTTGACGTATTACAAATTCTCAATACTTTTTGAGATATAAAGGAAAAACTTTTGGCCCCTCCAGGCCCTTAAATTTAGGGGCCAGCCCTATTTTCTAGATATCATTTGAAACATCTTTTAATTCTACACTTCTTTTGTTCTACATCTTTTAACAAAATATTTCTAAGTAAAAAGTTATCGTTGAAAAGGTTCAAAATTTTTGAAATTCGCGATAGGACTATTTTTTGGCCATAACGAGCTTACGTACACAGCAATTTCGGTGAATATGAAAAACGTTCCGCACAACTACATTTATTGCTCTATTATCACTGAAAATCTCAAGTTTCTATCTTAAGCCGTTTTCGAGAAAACTCGCGGACAACCTAACCCTCTAAAATTCACTAAAATGCAAAAATTGCGGAACCGGAAGTGACGTCATCAAAATTAAAAAATAGATGTCTAGATTTTTTTTATGTTACATCATCCCTGAAAGTTTCATGAAAATCGAGCGAGCCATTTCCGAGAACTCGCGTGCACAAAATCGGTAAGAAAAAAAAAAGAAAAAAAACCGTGGAAAAGAAACCTAAGAATAACAGAAAGGTCTTCCGTTGGAAACGGAAGACGTTAATAATGCATTTATGGAATATTATGAATAGAGACCTGCCTTATTCAGAACCCCCGAGCCAGGGTACATAAATTCACAACTTGGATAGAGGCACCTTGCTTATCATAACTACCTGGTATGCACTGAGTCAATTTGTTTAATACCCAAGAGCAGAGAAGAAGATTTTTTAAAGAAATAATTAATGTTTTACTGTATTATCTATATACATAGTAGACCTGCACTAGCACCAGACTATCTGACCCTGGGTTCATAATTTTCAAACTATTGGTATTACTGCTTCGTGCCCAAGAATAAATAAGATGATTTTTAAATATGGCACTTATTTTTAATGATTCAAACCTCCACCTCACAAGCGTTAGGTCTGCAGGGATCATGAAAAATACACAGTTTCCCTTATGCTGTATGCCCAGATTTGTTAGATTTGTGAAATTTCTTTAATCAAGGGTTTTTGAGAAGAATATTTTCAAGGGTTTTTGATAAGTATAATTTGGATAAGTACTCATAAAGGATGATTACAAATCGCAGAGAACATAGAGGGTCAATGTGCTTCTTACTGAGCTACATGTAAGGTACAATTAAATTAACCGTTTTGCAATTAAGTATTTGGTTAATTACTTTAACTGTTATCATAATTTATTAGATGTTATCATAGCAACAGATTTAATCTTATTTAAGGTAAAATAGTTTTAATAATATTTATCATTGAAATAATCTTGCAAATTAATTTGCAAATATTATTGTGTGACCTTTTTTGCACTGAAAAAGTAACATATTTGGGGCATTTAAATATCTTCAAAATCAAACTATTTACGACTTAAGCGCTTGTCAGTCAAAAGTCCAAATAATTTGGAGATATCTTAATAAGATGCACAGGCAGCTAGCCAGATGGATGACAGACAAAATGTGATCAGGAAAGATAAATTGAGCCTTGGGTTCAGGTGTTCTGTTTAGCATGCACTTTGAATAAACAGTAGTCGGCGTTTGACACATAGTGCAATCGCCTCTAGCTCATGCACCATGTTTCAAACAGTGACTACAATTTACGCGTGGTGAATACCAAGCACAAGACTATTATATACGTTTTGATTTAGCACAGGATCAATGGAAACAAAGAATGAAGCATACCATGGATGCTATCTGTTACTTCAAAGACATCTGCATGAATGTCAACTCCTCTGGTTGGGTTGGTATTTTCCTTTATTTCTTTCAGATCGATGCCCTTCAGTCTCTGTAGTAATGTTGTTTTTCCACTACCTGCACATCCAATGATCATCCCAGAGGCGTGGTACATCATGGTCTTTCCTTTCTTCAGATTTGCGATGAATTTTTTTACAGATTTGTCTCCCCTCATTATTATCTGAATAGGTACACCGACTAAGAGAAAAACATTGGGGCATTATAATACTAACTTAAAGAAAAATAGTCAAAATAAAATTACGTACATGTACAAACTTAAAAAGAAATATATTCACATTCTTTTTCTCAATCAATAATTACTAAATGAATATCATTAATAAAACAAAAATCCGCTAAAACCTCAAACATTTGTCATTTAATTTTAAGTAAAGAATTCTGAAAATTCTTTGAATGTAGACCTACATTTTCTAAATACAGCTTCATGGAGTGACTGGTCCACCATTGTTGGGTGCTTGAAAACATCTTGTCCAAGTCTCTTTAAAAACTCTTCATTTTTTTCTGGCAGTAACCAACAGCAAACTTCATCCTCCCCTCTCTGATAATTCCATGATCTACAGAACTCAGCAATGTTTTCTTTTTCTGCCCAAGTCAAGAAAATATCATTTAAGTTTACTGTATAAACTCCAATCCTGTCTCTAATTATTTTAGGACTCTTTAATAACTTTAGGAAACTGATATCTTTGAAGCAATCATTGGAAAAACTGATCTCTGATTCATTGAGTTTCAGAATTGGTTTGTATTTTTCTAAATCTGTAGGGGCAAATGGCTTTGTGACTTCCTTGGAATGAAAAATGTTGGCAACAGCATTATATTTAGTCATCCAGTTTCCTTCTTTCATGTTTATTTTGTAGGAATTGGAAATAAGAAGGCACATCAATAGGGTATCTCCATCTACAAAGTAAAGAAAAATATATATGCATAATATATAAAAAAAAGCTCGGAAAAAACATTGAATGTATTAATATCACCGGCAATTAAAATTGTTACACAGAATGGAGTAATTTTCCCATAAATTTAAATCAACATTATATCAATAACAGGTCTCCTTACATTGATTCAAATGTTACTAAAAGGGCATGTATGTTTGTCATGGACACCCACATTATGCAGTTAACCTTATGTACAAAAATTCCTTCAGATACAAACTTCATACAGAAGATTATCTCTTGTGTGTTTGGATTGGGTAAATAAAGGCCATTGTTATAAATAATTTATTGATAATTGAAGCAGAATTGGATCAAATATTCAAAATATATTCCATTTACTACATACATAAATTTATGTTGTTTAAGAAACTAATTTAACTATTACCCTTTATCCTGTGAATGTTGTCAAACAATGTCTTTATCTTTCTAAGGTCATGTCTGCTGTGATCCTCAGAGCTGGTACACTCCACACACAAGGGAACACCACACGGGGTACAGAACTGGTCCAGGGGAATTCTGGGATGTTTTCTACATTTGATGTCCTCCAGAAGGAGTCCTGTTGAAGATAAAAGGAGTCTTTTATATATTATAAATACTTTTAAAAAATCCTGATTAATCTTCACAAAACAATGTCATTTTTGGTACTCCTATATCAAATATTTATGATATTGGAGTAGTTAAAATGGTTTAAGTCCAAAAATTTTAGAATCAAATCTTGATATTTATACATTCATTAAAAAAAACCATTTGTGATTTTCATTATGCCAATAAATACTAAGGGAGATAATTTTGTTCTGATAAAACATTGTTGATTCATGCTCTCAAATGATTATGTATGGGCTTTCTTGTTTCCAATATAATCAACATTATAACAATATAAAAATATCATAATGGATTAAAGATCATTGATGACTGCTATCAATGATAAATGCATCCTCCAAATTATTTCTACTTCAAAATATGTATAATTTTATGACTACAAGATGAAGTTCTTTAACTTGACAGGATAATGTACCTTGTGTCTCAAATCACCTCAAATCATATGATGACATTTAAAATTATGACAAAGTTGACCAATCAATGTTAAATTCTTTGTTTCCATAAAACATTCATAATCAACACAATTTGCATCAAAATGTCTTTTGTTAAGTACTGATGACCTTAGCTATACTCACATGACCTTTGTTTAGAGTTATAATATGCCTTCCTAAGGCCTAACTCCACTGAAAATTCACTGAATACAAACATATATATGTGATTGGATGTAAATTATAAATGAAAACAATCCAAAAATTTCTTATAAATTGAAATAGGTCAGATGAGTTCGCAATAATGATAAAAAACTTGACATAACTTGAAATAGTACAGCCATATATTACCCCCCCCCCCTTCTCTAAGCATCTACACTTAGTTCAGTGACAGTGTAAACCACAGAAATCAACCCTACATATTTCTGTCAGTGACCTCCAATGCTTGTAACAGGGTAAAAATGTAACATTTTCAGTGCATTATCATCTGAGGGCTTCCAGTCTCTTAAATTCATGTGGTTGGGATACATAGGGTTACAAATTGACAGAATAAATGTAATGATAAATATACAAGTATTTCCTCCTTTACCATATCTTGTACTTACATTTGATACAGGTAGTGATAATGAAATTATACTTTTAGTTTCATGGATCAACTATTTTGAAACAAAGCGGGAGATTAAGTTGTTTTTAACAGGAATTGTTTTAAAACTTTTATAATGAAAAGGGAGGTAACTTAATTTTTTTTTTCTTTACCTTCAAATACAAAATTGAATTGTCTCCCTTTCATTAGCAATTTAATAAAATTATTCAATGCAGTTGCATTCATACTTATTCTATAGTGTCTAAGAAATAATTTTTTTTGTTCATTAAAATGAAATGAATCTTAAGCAACAGTGTGGACTTGAACCTTGAATAATGTTGTTTATCTCCATATTTCATCAGACATCTAGACGTTTCTCATACACAAAATGTCAACTCAGTACACAGTGTAGATTTACTGAACACCTGCTACAGAAATACACAACATTCCTAGACAGAGCTGTGTTAATATCAATGGTGTCTATATCAAACTGTCAAAATAAGTACAAACTGTCATGTGTTCTAAATGTAGACTTACTTAAACTGAATACATTATAAAGGACATTGTAAACAAATTAAAAATGCTATTTCTCAAAACTGATCATACAACACCAAACGTATTTATCGAACAAAACTTCACGCAATTTCAAAAGTTGATTATTACCCCAAAGACAGTATATGATACGTATACTATAATTCAAAACCTATCTGTCAAACAAATATATAGATGTATGAATGTACCATAAGATGGCTCTGATAAAAATTTACAGAAAAGTTTGACATAAGATTCAGTGTATACATGTATGAATCAGTGATTGAAGAGTTACACACAACATCTTACAATTAATTACAGACTATAGATGTAAATCTATCATTACTTTTTAATCTATTGATCATATTTGTAGTCATAAACTTCATCTTTAACAGCTTATATTTGTTGTTTACACAATGAACAATCATTTCTATTACATTTGTAAATAAACACTTGAATACATTCATGTCAAGTTATTCTTAAATGACCTCTCTATTATGATGTAGCTATTTAGTATAGGTATTATAATAATTATACAATACAATAAAACAGACTACAGTGTTACTTACCAGTCAGAGAGTCTGTATCTACCACTCTGTATAGGTTGACTGTGTTGTTGATGTACCCTGACCCTACCCACAGTAGTTGGGTGTCATCATCATAACTCAGGCCCCATGGTGTGTCTATCCCGTGTTGTGATGTCTGTATCTCTGTCAGATAGTGACCATCACTATCTAACATCTGTACTGACCGGGTGTTCCAATCACACACCAGGATGTGTGACAGCGCGTCAGTACAGATTCCACATGGTGCTAGTCGTGATCCTGATGGAGGACCTCTGTAGGAGAATCGGTAATTACCGTCACCATCTGTCACCACTACAGCTTCACGGTCATAGTCAGACACAATAACATCTCCATTGCGATTCTCTGTGATATAAATAGGGTTACTATACAGTTCCTGACCAGTGTTGTTGTCGTGCTGTATTGTCTGGATGTTTTCTCCTGTGGAGTTATACCGCACTACCTTGCCTGCATTACTATAAGCGTTCTTCATCCCGACCAGCAGGTGTCCAGTGGAGGGGGAGCTGTAGACACTCCATGGTATCCATGGTGATGTGTTGTACTTTATTATCGTAGTCTTTTCTTTGTTCTCTGTAGACAGTTTATTGATGTTATCACTACTGTATATATAAATTAAATAACCGTAAGTATTCACAGTGTGTCCTCCCACATAACTACATATATCTGTCACACGATCTAGTTCTACTCCTTTAGTGTTTGTCAGTATAAGATTCCTACCATCACTGATCCAGACCCGGTCTGATGTAACACGTGAAATGTAAATACACCCACTAACACCAGGCACGGTGACAGATTTCTGGTACACTCCTCTATACATTATTGACAGCAGACATCTATTTCTTTACCCTGATGTTTTATAACACAATCCCGTGTGGATTTCTTCAGTCAGGGAGATCTCTCTGTAAATTACAACAGTGTACTACAGTTACATGTAGAGACATCAGTAACATCTTTCTATTTACAATGTACTCAGTGAATAACATGTATTTATAATAACAGATTGATTTTCAGAACTTAAAGCACACACTAATATTAAGACAGAGACACACATAAATACCTTGATACTTGGTGCTGATTTTTTTCTTTTCTTTGTATAGCAAGGATCTAGTATTCACAGTGAAGTCTGTTTTAAAATCAAAATTTAAAGATTAAAACAATGAAAGAAGAGAAGACATTCAACATGTTCAAAATTCTTCTGCAGTGCATGAAATAAAATATTTGAAATGTAAACTTGATTTCAATTAGTTCCACTTCTTTATAAATAAACTTTATATACAAATTTACAAATTGCATAAAATCTTAATAACCTTTACTTTAAATAAATATATTACAGTTTTAAAAAACGTTTCTTTTAATTCAAAGTAACAACAATGTGCAGTATTAAATATAGATATTTGTGATGATGTACCACACTGTATAGATACTGGTATGATCTACTAACAGTGTGTTGGTACACCATTATATAAAGTAACATAGAAATGTATACCACACTGATGTCTTGTGTCTTGTAACCATGGCAAGGTTTCAATTTCCCTTGGTTTGTGTCCTTATGCCCTGGTGAAAGAAAAAAAACATTTTTATTTATCATTCTAAAGAAACATGTATTCAATTAATTAACTTTATCTCATCTTCATTTTGATATACAAGTCTTGTATTATCTCTTAGAGGCCCAAGGACATCACTCCTTCCTTATGCCTTTCACATTCAATTTTGTAAATTTTGGCCTGAGAAACCAAAAAATTATTTTTTTATGGTCTTACTTTTATAGTTTATGAACATTAACATGTGGTAAACAAACCTGTATGGAGGTGACATTTTCCTTCCCTTAAAAACTACAGCACATCCTGGGAAATTTGTAACAGCAACTTCAGAATCACCTAAACATAGGAATATAGAATGTATAATTGACTTAATGTATAACAGTGCAGGTGTACATGCATAAGTACTAATAATGATTTTCTATTTTGATGTTACAGTATGTTTTGCGGGGTTTTTTCCACTTTCAACAGTTCAAAATTTTTCAAATAAAATTCATGAAAAATTTCCTCATAAGTTTAAAGTATCATGTACATGTACTTTATAGCCTCATGAACTTTAGAATTGGAAAACATGATAACATTAACCTTTTACATGATATAGAGTACCAGGGTAATTAAAATATTAACCTGTACAATGGAAAAACCATCATCTTCTTTTCCAAAGTTGCACTCTACATCTTACACGGAATCTATCAAAATAATTAAATGGCATGATTTACTCCATGATAACTCTTACATTTAGAATATCTTCGAAGGCGTACATCAAAAGTTTCACATAACATTCAACCAGAAATCATATCAGCATTGAGAAGTTTACAGGGGGGGGGGGGGTTGGAATTTTAAAGTACCAACTACCTGTATGATGCTTCCATACAACAAATGCTTTTGATGTTTCTGAGCAGATTATTGTTTTTTCCTATTTATTCATTTGACCCCCCCCTCCCAATGTGGCCCAGCCTTACCCCTGGAAACCCTTATTTGAACCCGTATGACGTTGTACTACCTGAAAATGCCTTCATATTAATATGATTAAACATGGCTTTTCTGTTCTTAGGAAACAAAATGTCCTCAATGTTTCTAGGCAAAACATTGATCCCCAAAAGTGGCCCAACCTACCTATCCCCTACTGCCCGTTCATGACTTGAGCAAACTTGAATCAACACTAATTGAGGATGCTTACATAAAGATATGACCAATCATGGCTTTGTGGTTCTTAAAAAGAAGAGTTAAAAAAATTTACAATGTATTCATTCATTATGTTCATATAATCATCCACTGTGGCCCCGTCCTACCCCCTTGGGGGTCATGATTTGAACACAATTGAATCTACTGGTACACACCTGAGGATGTTTTCACATAAATTTTATCTTTCCTGGCCAAGTGGTTCTTGAGAAGAAGATTTTCAAAGATTTTTCCTCTATACATGTATTCCAGTGCAAATCTTTGATCGTACATTGTGGACTGACCCTACCCCTGGGGGTCATGACGTGAACAAAATTAAATCTACACTACCTGAGGATGCTTCTACTTGAGTTTCATCTTTACTGGCCCAGTGGTTCTAGAGAAGAAGATTTTTTTTTAAATCCTATATAATCCTACGATAAATTTTGATCAGAGATTGTGACCTTGCCCTAACCCCGGGGGTCATGATTAAAACAAAATTGAATCTACACTATCTGAGGATGCTTCCATATGTGTTTAATCTTTCTTGGCCATGTGGTTCTGGAGAAGAAGATGTTTAAAGATTTTTCCTACATATTCCTATGTTATACTATGATCAGCCATTGTGGCTTCGCCCTACCCCGGGGGTCATGATTTGGACAAACTTGAATTTACACTACCTGAGGATGCTTCCACATGAATTTCATCTTTCCTGGCCATGTGGTTCTGGAGGAGAAGATTTTTAAAGATTTTTCCTTTATATTCCTACATGTGTGTAAACCTGTGATTGGCCATTATGGTCCCGCCCTACCCCCCTGGGGGTCATGACGTGAACAAAATTCAATCTACAATACCTGAGGATGCTTCTACTTGAGTTTCATCTTTACTGGTCCAGTGGTTCTGGAGAAGAAGATTTTTAAAGATTTTTCCTGTATATTCCTATGAAAAACTTTGATCAGCCATTGTGGCCCCGCCCTACCCCCAGGGGTCATGATTTGAACAAAATTGAATCTACACTACCTATGGATGCTTTCACATGAGTTTCAACTTTCCTGGCCAAGTGGTTCTTGAGAAGATTTTTTCTATTTATTCTTCTGTAAAACTTTGGTCAGCATTTTGGCCCCGCCCTTCCCCCAGGGGTCATAATTTGAACAAATTTGAATTTACACTACCTGAGGATGCTTCCACATGAGTGTCATCTTTCCTGGCCCAGTGGTTCTTGAGAAGAAGATTTTTAAAAGATGTCATTAATTTTTCATTAATTCATAATTATCTCCCCTTGGAAGAGGGCTTCGCCCTTCAATTGAACAAACTTGAATTCCCTCTACCCAAGGATACTTTGTAGCAAGTTTGGTTGAAATTGGCCCAGTAGTTCTTGAGAAGAAGATGAAAATGTGAAAAGTTTATGACGACAACGACAGACGACAGACAAATTTTGATCAGAAAAGCTCACCTGAACCTTTGGCTCAGGTGAGCTAAAAACTTTTTTGTGTCTTTTACTTAAAGAAAAAGGGACTAGAAACCATGTATATTGTAGAGGGCATTGGTCACAGAATGTATACAGGCAGGGTTGGTAAGTGTAGCCGCCCCACTGCCCGAGGCGGCCTGTTTCTGTTTTTGATAACAGCCCAGTGGTCCCAGGCTAAATTTAATAACCAGTTTCTTGGTGTTCTTGACATGAAATAATCTTTGTTGATTCATCTGAATTAGTTTCATTTTATTCCTACTTGTAAACATGGTAAATTTTACCATATTTTTAATAAAGGCCAATTTTGATTTTAAAACAGCAGTGCACTTTGTATTTTTCTACTTTCGTTTTGAAAAATGATTTATATACGTAGCTGTCTCAGATATGGCTTCCGATTTTCTTGCATGTTTATTCCTTTTTAATGAAAAGATAATTAACCCTTAAGGGGGCTCTCTACACTTATAAAGTATAACTGATTTTTGTTGCATGCATTTGTTTCTAATAATAGGCCCCATATCCGATAAAATAAGGTTCCACAGTACTTCAATATATTTTTTTAGAAATATTTGAAATATTTTATTTATTTTGTTAAAATCCCTTCTATCTATATTTTTAAAAGCCCAGTGCTTTAAATTTCTCTTCAAAGTTTAGTGTTATAAAATATTGAAATAATAACCAACAAAGATAAAAATAAAATCAACATAATTTTTATTAAAATTTACAAAAATAGACAAAAGAAAAACTAAAACAGCATTTTCTTGAGAATAGCTGGTTGGATCCTCTTCAATATCTGAAAAGATATATAATATCAAAGGGTAAAAACAATGAAAAAAAGAAATTGAAAAAAATTGAAAAACTGTCAAAAATTTATAAACATCACAAAAATTCAGGTGTGAGAGATCCGCTTTAAGAGTGAACTCAAATATCTTGGTACTGTTTTTTATATAAATAAACTTCAAATAAACTCTACTTGCACAAGTATTAAACAAATGTCACGCAAGGGCATTGAAAGAAGTTCGTATTGTACATGTATTGTTTTTCAATGAGCTTAAGCGAAAATCATCGCGTTTCCAGTCAATGACAAAGACATGTATTTAGGCCTAGTGAATTCATGGTATTGAGAAAGGTAGATTTACTTACCGTTTTTATCCAACTTGCATGTGTTATCCAGTGCTACATATAACAAAACAAGTTAAGATGGTAAATGGCCAAAAGCGGTAAAAGTAATTCCCATAACCAAATGCACACTTCGTCTAAAACCTGCACGTTTCCCATACTTGTAAACAGTTGACAATCAATGGTGATCAAACGTTTGGGTCATGCGAAATTTCACCGGGTATAACAATTCATTCGGGTGTATACAAATAGAGAATAGAGTATCCTCTAGTCGATGGGAAGATAATACATATGTCTTATCTTATCAAATTTGCATTTTGGGGGGATAGGCCTATATTTTGCTGAAAAGCATATATGCTTATTGAAGAAATAAATTTCTGAGTGTATGGCGTTTTGACACGTAATGATGAATTAGCATATGGACAAGCCATGTTTTATATCATTTTTTTCTCATCTAAAAATCTTATTCTAATAAGTTTGTAAATGTATTATCTAATAATTAAATAAGCAAAATTGAATACATTGACGAATAATTCATTTCTAAAGAAAGGATACGTATTGGGCAAAACACTGTATAATTGATGTGATATTATGTACACTCCATCCACAATATTGCATGTTGTGTTATACTCAGTGATTTATCGGTGTTAAGTGAATTTGAATCTGATCATTTGGGATCAAAATGGCGTTTTTACGGAAGTACGCCATTTGTGATCTTGTATAATTAACCCTTAATCAAGAAAGCTAGAGCTGGTGTACAAAATCTAACCAGACAAACTAAATAAAGAGCTGCCAACAAATTTTACTCAACATCTGCCCCCTTTTGACGAGTTTGCACAGATTTTCCATTCTTTCCAACCTAAATGCTAGGCATAATTCCTTCAGACATGAAACATACAATAAGCCAATTAAAACTGCAACCTTACCCCGGGGGTCATAGTTTCAACAATTTAAAATCTACACTGCCTATTATAAATATCTGCGCTCGCCAAGGTACATATTTACATGTAATTATGCCTACAACCAGTGTTTTAAGTTCATTTATACTTAATGTAGCAAACAAGAAAACCCTAAAAGCTTAATTACACAAGCGTTTGTTTCATACAGTACGCTAGTTTTCTACTATACAATAACAATGTGTTAGGCCTATAATGTTATTGTATAGGCCTAGTAGAAAACTAGCGTACTGTATAAAACAAGCGCCGAGATTGTGCCTGACCCGATTATGATGAGGAAGTGTGGGAACTCGGAGAAACTTTGCCTAAAGAAAATCCCTTGTTCAATACATATTCATTTTTTCATTTTGCTTTGGGGTTTTTTATGTCCCCGTAATCAAAGTATCGGGGTATGTACAGTATGTGGCCATAAGTGAGTCATAATTTTATTTTTACGCTATATTTTTCATTGAAAATCCAATTTTTGAAAAAAAATTATTGTGAAGTCAATTTAAGCTCAATTTTCATGATTTTTTCACTGAATCATGCAGAATTATTCCAATTTTCTTGTCTTGAAATGATAAACAAAATATGATACTCAAATCACTGAGAACAAGTAATAAAATTGCCAAGGCAAAAATTTCTAACCTCAAATTACTATGATTTCTTAACAAATTGAAGTCTTAAAATTTTTATTTTGTACTTCACCTGAATGTTATTTCATTGTGATGCCTAGAAATAGAATTGTTTTGAAATAATATGGAGAGAAACTACAAAGAATTCTGCATTTTATGGTGTTTTAGTCATAAAAAATGATTAACAAATAATATTCCAATAGTATTTCAGAAAAATGCATTTTTCAATGAAATATATATATAGTGGAAAAATAAAATTATCACTCACTTATGGCCGGGTACTGTAGCTTTTAAATATTTTTATCATATACTTAGTAGTAGATACACCGATTCTGCACGTTGTGATACGGGTGACGTCACAATACCCCATATCAAGGACCGGTCCGAAAAG